CCAGGAATTTCAGGAGAATCCCGGGATTTTCATTCCTGGAATCCCGGGATTTTCATTCCGGGAGAATCCTGGGATTTTCGTTCCTGGAATTCCAGGGATTTTCATTCCGGGAATTCCGGGATTTTCGTTCTGGGAATTCCAGGAGAATCCTGGGATTTTCATTCCTGGAATTCCGGGAGAATCCCGATATTTTCATTCCCAGAATCCTGGGATTTTCATTCCAGGAGAACCCCGGGATTTTGTTTCTGGGAATTTCAGGAGAATCCCGGGATTTTCATTCCCAGAATCCCAGGATTTTCGTTCCTGGAATCCCGGGATTTTCATTCCGGGAATTTCGGGAGAATCCCGGGATTTTCATTCTGGGAATCCTGGGATTTTCATTCTGGGAATTTCAGGAGAATCCCAATATTTTCATTCCCAGAATCCCGGGATTTTCATTCCTGGAATCCCAAGATTTTCATTCCAGGGATTTTCATTCCCGGAATCCCGGGATTTTCATTCCAGGAATTCCGGGAGAATCCCAATATTTTCATTCCCAGAATCCCGATATTTTCGTTCCTGGAACCCCGGGATTTTCATTCCGGGAATTCCGGGAGAATCCCGGGATTTTCATTCCTGGAATCCCAGGGATTTTCATTCCTGGAATTTCAGGAGAATCCCGGGATTTTCGTTCCCAGAATCCCGGGATTTTCATTCCCGGGAATCCCAGGGATTTTCATTCCCAGAATTCTGGGATTTTCATTCCGGGAATTTCGGGAGAATCCCGGGATTTTCATTCCTGGAATTCCAGGGATTTTCATTCTGGGAATTCCAGGAGAATCCCAGGATTTTCCTTCCTGGAATTCCGAGATTTTCATTCTGGGAATTTTGGGTTTTTCATTCCGGGAATTTCGGGAGAATCCCGATATTTTCATTCCCAGAATCCCGTTGTTTTCATTCCTGGAATTCCGGGATTTTCATTCCTGGAATTCCGTGAGAATCCCGGGATTTTCATTCCCGGAATCCCGGGATTTTCGTTCCTGGAATTCCAGGGATTTTCATTCTGGGAATTCTGGGATTTTCATTCCGGGAATTTCAGGAGAATCCCGGGATTTTCATTCCCAGAATCCCGATATTTTCGTTCCTGGAAGAATCCCGGGATTTTCATTCCCAGAATCCCGATATTTTCGTTCCTGGAATCCCGATATTTTCATTCCGGGAATCCCAAGATTTTCGTTCCTGGAATCCCGGGATTTTCATTCTGGGAATTTCGGGAGAATCCCGGAGATTCTCGGTGATTCCCGGTGTTTCTCATTCCCGGAGTTTCCGTGTAATTGATTCCCGGTGATTCCCGGTGATCCATTCTCGGTGTTTCCCAGTGATTCCCGATGTTTCCCGGTGATTCCCGGTGTTTCCCGGTGTTTCCCGATGTTTCCCGATGTTTCCCGATGTTTCCCGGTGTTTCCCGGTGTTTCCCGGTGATTCCTGGTGATTCCTGGTGTTTCTCATTCCCGGTGATTCCCAGTGATTCCCGGTGTTTCCCGGTGGTTGATTCCCAGTGTTTCCCGGTGTTTCCCGGTGTTTCCCATTCCCGGTGTTTCCCGGTGTTTCCCGGTGTTTCTCATTCCCGATGTTTCCCGGTGTTTCTCATTCCCGCTGATTCTTGGTGGTTGATTCCCGGTGATTCCCGGTGATTCCCTGTGATCCATTCCCGGTGTTTCCCGGTGTTTCTCATTCCCGGTGTTTCCCGTTGATTCCCGGTGTTTCCTGGTGTTTCTCATTCCCGGTGTTTCTCATTCCCGGTGTTTCCCGGTGTTTCCCGGTGTTTCCCGTTGACTCCCGGTGTTTCCCGGTGTTTCCCATTCCCGGTGTTTCCGTTTCCCGGCAGATGGAATTTGACGAGAAGGATTTGCGGCGGGAGATCAGCTACGCCATCAAGAACATCCACGGGGTGAGGCAAGTATCCGGCATTCCCGGGAATTCCCCGGATCCTTCCCTGGATCCTTCCCTGGATCATTCCCTGGATCATTCCCGGGAATTCCCCGGATCCTCCCCTGGATCCATCCCCGGATCCATCCCCGGATCCTCCCTTGGATCATTCCCAGGAATTCCCCGGATCCTCCCCGGATCCATCCCCGGATCCATCCCCGGATCCTCCCCTGGATCCTCCCCTCGATCCTCCCCTCGATCCTCCCCTGGATCATTCCCGGGTCAGCATTCCCGGGAATTCCCCGGATTCATCCCCGGATCCATCCCTGGATCCATCTCTGGATCCTCCCCTGGATCCTCCCCTGGATCCATCCCTGGATCATTCCCGGATCCATCCCAGATCCTTCCCTGGATCCTTCCTGGGCCGGCATTCCCGGGAATTCCCCGGATCCTCCCCGGATCCATCCCCGGATCCATCCCCGGATCCTCCCCTGGATCCTCCCCTGGATCATTCCCGGATCCATCCCCGGATCCTCCCCTGGATCATTCCCGGGAATTCCCCGGATCCTCCCTGGATCCTTCCCCGGATCCTTCCCCGGATCCTTCCCCGGATCCATCCCTGGATCCTCCCCTGGATCCTTCGCGGGCCAGCATTCCCGGGAATTCCCCAGATCCATCCCCGGATCCATCCCCGGATCCATCTCTGGATCCTTCCCGGGATCATTCCCAGGAATTCCCCGGATCCTCCCTGGATCCTTCCTGGGCTGGCATTCCCGGGAATTCCCCGGATCCATCCCGGATCCATCCCCGGATCCATCCCGGGCCGGCATTCCCGAGATCCTCCCCTGGATCCTCCTCTGGATCCATCCCTGGATCCATCCCTGGATCCTTCCCTGCCCGGCATTCCCGGGAATTCTCCTCTGGATCCATCCCTGGATCCATCCCTGGATCATTCCCAGGAATTCCCTGGATCCTTCCTGGGTCTTCCCCTGGATCCTCCCCTGGATCCTTCCCTGGATCCATCCCTGGATCCTTCCCTGCCCAGAATTCCTGGGAATTCCCTGGATCCTCCCCTGGATCCTCCCCTGGATCATTCCCGGGAATTCCCCGGATCCTCCCCTGGATCCTTCCCGGGAATTCCAGCGCCTGCAGGAGGGATTTTCCCTGCTCAGCTTCTCCAGGAGCTGGGAATTCCCGGGGGGAATTGGGAATTCCTGGGAATTCCTGGGAATTGGGAATTCCTGGGATGGGGAATTGGGAATTCTTGGGAATTCTTGGGAATTCTTGGGAATTCCTGGGAATTGGGAATTCCTGGGATGGGGAATTGGGAATTGGGAATTCCTCCCTGGGATGGGGAATTGGGAATTCCCGGGAATTGGGAATTCCTGGGAATTCCTGGGAATTGGGAATTCCTCCCTGGGATCGATCCCGCTCTGATCCCGCTGTTTTCCAACTGTTTCCGGCTGTTTCCTGACTGTTTTCCCGCTGTTTCCCGACTGTTTTCCGGCTGTTTTCCCGCCATTTTCCGGCTGTTTTCCCGCCATTTTCCAACTGTTTTGCCGCCATTTTCCGTCTGTTTTCCCGCCATTTTCCGACTGTTTTCCCGCCATTTTCCAACTGTTTCCCACCCTTTTCCGACTGTTTTCCCGCCCTTTTTGGGCCGTTTTCCCGCCATTTTCCAACTGTTTTCCTGCCATTTTCTGACCGTTTTCCTGCCATTTTCTGACTGTTTTCCCGCCATTTTCCAATTGTTTCCCCACCCTTTTCCGACTGTTTTCCTGCCCTTTTC